AGCTAAGTCTTTCGTACCATGCCCGCGGAGCTTGCTTCAGTCCATACAGCGCTTTGGTCAGTTTATCCACATGGTAGGGAAACTTTGAATCTATAAATCCAGGGGTTGTTTCACGTATACTTCCTATTCAATGAAACCATTCAAAAAGGCACTTTTAACATCCATCTGGAATAGCCTGAATCTTTTAAAGGATGTATATGCAAGAAGAATTCGTATAGATTCCAGTCAAGCTATTGGAGCAAAGGTTTTGTCATAGTCGACTCCTTCTTGTTGTGAGTATCCTTGAGCAACTAATCTGGCTTTGTTTCTCACAACTTTTCCATCCTCATTCAACTTATTTCTGAAGACCTATTTTGTTCCAACTAGGGGAGCATTTTCAGGCTTGGGCATCAGCTTCCATACTTGATTTTTGTCGAATTGGTCTAGCTCTTCCTGCATAGCTTGCAACCAGCTTGAGTCTTTCAGAGCTTCCTCTATTTTCTTTGGCTCAATCTGAGAAATCAGTACTATGTTTGCTTTCTTCTTGAGAGCTCCCCTGGTTTTCATTCCTTCGCTTGGATCTCCTATGATGAATTTTTGAGGATATTCAGGTTCACTTCTCCATTCATTTGGACGAACTGTATGAGTAGTTGACTCCTTTGAAGATTCTAGTTGACTGTTACTATCTCATTAGTTGACTCTATCACACCATCAGATTTATTAGTCGACTCTTGAGATTTGCTTGTCTCCTGAATTTCTTGAGTTTGATCTTCATCACCTGCAATAATTCCTTTCTCGGCCGAAGTGTTATTCTCATCAAATATAACATGTACTGATTCTTCCACACACAGTGTGCGTTTATTATAGACTCTAAAGGATCTACTATTTAATGAATAACCCAGAAAAATACCTTCGTCACTTCTTGGATCGAATTTTCCAAGATTGTCCTTACCATTATTGTGAATGAAACACTTGCTTCCAAACGGATGGAAGTAACTAATATTGGGTCATTTACCTTTCCACAATTCATAAGGTGTTTTCTTCAAAATGGGCCTTATGAGACATCGTTTGAGAATGTGACATGCTACTTACTCCTTCTGCCCAGAAGTGATTTGGCAATGAATATTCTAGTATCATAGTTCTTGCCATATCTTGCAAGGTCCTATTTTTCCGCTCAACGACTCCATTCTGTTGGGGTGATCTTGGGGCAGAGAAGTTGTGGGTGTATCCTTGATCATTATAGAAATCTTCAAATGCCCTGCTTTCAAATTCTCCTCCATGATCACTTTGGATTGTTGTAATTAGATACCCCTTTTCTCTTTCAATCTTCTTACAGAATATCTCAAAAATTTTCAAAGTTCATCTTTATGAGATAAGAAAATTACCTAAGTAAAACGTGAGTAATCATCAACAATAACAAAATCATATCGTTTCCCTCCTATGCTAGCAGTTCTAGTAGGTCCAAATAAGTCCATATGAAGCAATTGCAAGGGCTTAGAAGTAGATACAATATCCTTGTTTTTTAAAGAGTTTCTAGTTTGTTTTCCAATTTGACAAGCATCACATATATGATTTCTAGAGAAATTTAGTTTAGGCAGACTAATAACTAAATCATGCTTGGAAAGTTTATCTATCAAATGCATGCTTGCATGACCAAGTTTCTTATGCCATAAACATGGATAATTAGATATGGATGTTAAACAAATATGACCATCTATATTTTCAAAGCCATCAAAAATATAAACATTTCCATACCTTTTACCTGGGAGGATTATTTTACCTATTTCATCTTCAATAGCACTACCTGTTTTCTTAAACTTTACTTCATACCCCGAGTCGCATAGCTGACTTATACTCAGAAGATTGTAGTTAAGTCCGTCAACAAGATAAACCTCAGTGATATCACAATTATTATTAAAAGGGACTGTTCCGGTCCTGACTATTTTTCCTTTTGAGTCATCACCGAACTTGACACTTCCTTCGTCTATTTTTGTAACTTCCTTAAACAGGTTTTTGTCACCTCTCATGTGACTGGAACACACACTATCTAAGTACCATTTTCCTTTGCGACTCCTCCTGTGGTGTTCCTGCAAAACATAGTTATTACTTTCTTTTAGGTACCCAAGCTTGCTTGGGTCCTGATTGGTTAGTATTACTCGACTCAGGATTGTTTTTGGGTTTTCAAATCCATCCTGAAACATTTGATTTACGAAATCGACAAAAAGAATATTTATGTCCACTTTTGTTACAGTAGTGACACGTTACTCTTGATCCATTTTTGGATCTTTCATTAGTGTTAGTATTAGTGGACTCTGTTCTGGTTGGTCCTTCTCCAGTTGACTTGTAAGTCGCTTGGTTTGACCTGATAGAACTGTGGCCGGTGGATTTGCGCATGCCATTGAGTTGCATTTGCAATTCGTCAAACTCTTCTTGACTTCTTTTTCAATTTCACATACTTCATGCTTGAGTTTCCGGTCTTTGACTTCTTTGTTGAGTCTCTTTAGTTCATTCGTCATTTTTGAGACTCTTTCAAAGTAAGGTCAAGAATATCCTGCAATTCATTACACCTTTCATAGTTATAAGATCTTACCTCGCTTGTTTCACCTTGTGCCATTAAACAGTTCTCATTGTCATCTTTGCATTCATCGTCTGAAGTGTCCTCATCTGTCCAGCACCCTGAGAGTTTGTTCATGTCGTTTTCCAGAATTGTCATGAAGCAAAGATTTGCTATCTCTTCGTGTTCTGAACTGTCTTCATCACTCTAGCTTCCAAATGATTTGTTCTTGTTGAAGCCTCTGGAAACTTTTCTTTTTAGATCAGGACATTCAGGTTGAACATGCCCAAATCTTCCACACTTATAGCATTTGCCATCATTTTTGTCTTGTTCGTTATATTGCCTGGTTCGCCTGGGTGGCATCCTTCCTCTTCTCGCATTCCTGTATCTCCTCATTAAACCATCCATATTCCTTGACACCATGGCAATTTCTTCTTGAAGAGCTTCAGGGTCATCATCAATATCATTTTCTGCTTTTTCAGTTGTGGCCTTGAATGCAACTGTTTTCTTCTTTTCTTCTTGGTTTGTTTTCTTGAGATGAGTTTTCTCGAAAGCTATGAGTTCTCCTCGAAGTTCATCATATGATAGTTTGTTCAGATCCTATGATTCAAGCACTTTTGTCTGCCAAGTAGTGGGTAGACTTCTAAGAATCTTCCTAACTTGATCACCACTTGAGTATGGTTTGCCAAAAGCTTTTAGATCGCTAGTGATTTTGCTAAATCTGAAAAACCCTTTTTTTAATAGATTCTCCTTCTTTCGTCTGAAAGAGTTTATAGTCATGAACCAACATGTTGATATGAGTTTCCTTTACTTTACTGGTGCCTTCATACACAACTTCAAGTTTATCGCACATCTCTTTGGCTGTATCACAACTAGAGATTTTCTCATACTCCTCACCACTTATAGCATTATAGAGCAGATTCCTTGCCTTATTATTAACTTGCACAACTGCCATTTGCTCATATGTATATGAATCTTTATCTTCAGGATCAACAAGTGGTTGAGCGGCGGCCGGTAGAGGGTAGTTCCCCTTTTTGATAACTCTCCAGACTTTGACATCACAGGCCTTTGCGCATAAATCCATATGCACTTTCCAGTGAGAAAAATGTTGTCCATTGAAATATGGTGGCCTCACTTGCGATGTTCCTTCTTGGAAGAGCGCTCCGATAATAACTTGATTTGCCATGATCTTTTCTCACAAGCTGTTAAGCAAAAGAAAAATGTGAGACTTGCTCTGATACCAATTTAAAGTACAAGAGGGGGGTGAATTGTTTATATTTATATTTTAATCACTACAAGTTGACTAGTTTTCTAATTAGTCAACTAGATGTAATAACGAGATAATAGTAAGAGCAGAATTTAAGATGCAAAAATAAAATGCAGGAATTAAAGACACCGGAATTTTATACTGGTTCAGATTCAATGTGAATCCTAGTCCAATCCCCTTGGGTTGCAAGGGAGTTCTCTTTCACAGAATGAGTTTCTCGAGTACAACGTGAATGGTGTGGTTTACTCCAATGGCTCAGTTTCTATGTCACTTGTTTCTTTTTGATACAATGCCTCATAAGTATTTCTCTCTCTTTCTTCTCTAACTTGTTACGCAACAGATCTAGTAGAGCTACAATGTTTGTTTGCAGTAGAACAAAGAGAGGGTATTTGGTTCGATCAAAGTATATTTGTCTAAGGCTTAAGGATGTGTATAAATACTTTGTAGGAGGCCGTTGCTGAAGAGATTTGACAACCCAAGAGATTTGATCCTTGAAAAGAAATTGATTCTTTCCAAGAATAAGGTTATTTGCCGTTGCTCTTCCTTGATGAGAGGACTTTAATAGCTTTCCTTCTACAGTTCTTGATAGCGCCTGGTTTACTCCTTGATTTTTGGTCCTTCCAGAAATAGCAGCTTGATTGATCATCTTGCAAGATCTTCGATGCTTCTTTTCCGCTTCAATCAATCTCTTGATTGATTTCCTTGTCGGATCTTTAGTTGGTTGATTGATTCCTTCCTTTTGATTTCTTCGATCTTGGATGCTTTCCTTGAGTCCCTATGCCAAAAGCAATATATTATTTTTCACCATTAAAACTAAAACCTAACACTATATTGGCAAAGAAGGAACGTAGTGAGTAACCAACCGATCTTAATAGCTGAGCATGTGATTTACGATGTTCTATGTGCTGCTTGGAGCAAACATTATGCTTAGACAGGATATGTATAGATGAATAAGATTAAAGATAACAATGGATTTGAGGCATCATAGGCTGTAGTGGTGCTCTGTATCCTGCCACATCTTTATGCTATGCCTTGTTTTATTTAATTCTCTGCTGGATTGCGCATTTATCTTGACCATAAAAAGAAAAAAGAATCATAAAATACCTTGTGTCTGAGACTTTGAGCTAGCTTTTTAAGTGCATGTTGATGTTTGTAGTTTATGTCCTTCTCCTGCTAATTTCTATTGTCTTTCGGTAATAGGTACTGCCAGCGTGCCAAACGCATCTTCAATGAACTTCAAGAACAACCATTTGTGGTGGAGCTTGATCTTCGAGGTATTTTGTTGTCAACCTGTAGAAAGAAATGAAAATAAAGTAGAAATTAGAATACTTGAAAACAATTCACGGAAACAAACACAGAGTTTTCGTTGACTATTTGATTGCCTATCTGTGTTAGTCTACATTGGTTGTCACATTTAGCGATGGAATTAATGGATTTGTTTCGAACTTACAATATATCTGCTCAGACGATGGCGGTCGTATTCAAGATGTCCTTTTGGATCTGGTGGGCCGCAGCACAGTCCCGCAAGTGTTTGTGAATGGGAAGCATATTGGTGGTTCAGAGGGTAGGCCTTGTGATTTCAGCTGTCTGATTCCTGTTCTCCCGACCTGATATTTATCAGCTTGTAACACTTGATTCTTTTTGTTTTTGTGATTTTCATTTTTTTTTTGGCTTCTTATTAGATCTTCAAAATGCTGTCAAGAACGGTCAGTTGCAAAGTCTACTTAAGAAAGAGTAAAGTACTGCAAGTTGAGAGATTCAAGCATCTTATCTGAATTCCTGAAGCTACAATGCATTCATGGAGAGCTTAGTTTAGTTTGGTAGGTCCAGCTCTAAACTAAAAATTTGTATGCTTACTATGCTGTTCGTTTTGTTTCTCATGCTGAAAAATGGGTATCTGGACAAACAACAAGGGATTTGAACTTAATTCAAATGCATATGTCCTTCACTAGCTATAACTTCAGTGTACACTGTGCAGAGACAGCAGGTTGTTTACAAATGAACAAAAGTAAAATGGAATAGGATAACAAGAGGCGTGGAATTAGAGAAATCCTCTAGTACAGACTATGCTCCAATTTCAGTTATGTTGTTCAAATTTCAAACTTCAGATGCTAATTTATGTGCATCTAGATTCTAAAACCTGTGGATACAAATGTTCCCAGAAGATTAATATCTGAGCGAATGGCAGTATGAAAAAGCTTGTGTAGATCCGAAGTGTAACAAATATAGACATAAGAGTGAAGAAATGCCATGCTTGGCACATAAGGAAAGCTACTAACTCAGATCCTTTGTATTCATTTAGAAAAATATCTGCTGGCCTAATCTGTTGCATTTATAATTACTGCTAAATGCCATTATTCATGAGCTCTGCAGACTCATTCACATTTCAACAGAGTCTATCTTTGTCAAAGCAACTCATAATTTTTTTTAAATCAATCTTAAAGCTGACCCAACCAAATTGGTTGAGGAAACCTGTTTGCTACTAGAAAGACCACTTTTTGTCCAATTTTCGTGCGTTAAGCATGTCGCTAGCATTTATCTTAAGCCAAGATCAAACTTACTATGAGATTCATAGTTGCGTTACTTATAATGTCTTTATCCATAGACAGTGGAATCTGTGTAGCCTTTTGTTTAAAAAGGTATAACTTGTATCAATGTGCTTCAAAGTAGCCCTGAGTTCGCTCCAAAAAAAGATATAGCCATCAAAACTCAGTGATCAAGCACTCACTCCTCCAAGAGCTGTTTGTCCTTTTTGTTGACCTTCTTAATGCTAGATGTCTTGGACAAAACTGAAGTTGGCGAGTCTCTAAAAAATACTAACAACCCGCGGAGAAAAAAATAAAAGCGACTAAGAAGGGAAAAAGAAAAATGATAAGAGGACTACGAGACATGCTTGAAGAAGAGATTAATAAATGGGGAACTTCAGTTCTCCGTCGTTTTAATTATGCATCTGTATGCTAAATGTTACATTAACCTTGCAATTAATCAATAACAAGAGCTGCGGCATTTCCGGGCAGCACTTTGCCTTCTTTATCTATCAAAGAATAAATAAATAACTATAAAAAATAAAAATAAAAATAAATAACAAAAGCTACGGTAGCAGCTGCTTGCCTGCCCGCAGCATTACATGAAGAACTTTAGGCTACAAAAACAGAATTGCTTGTTGTGCTTGCTACAGAGTAAAAACTACAGATTTAGACAATTTGAGATTCTCCTGACTTTGTAATCAGGTTGGTGCAGCAGAAGCGCTTGGCCGCCACAAAGTCTTCTGTGCACTTAGTATTCCAACTTGGTTATGGGAGATGGTTTTCCGAATTTCCCAATGCAGAGACTTGAGTAAGTTCTCTACTTCCTTAGTTGTGGCGGAGTCATCACGGACAATCAAGTAACCTCCAGGTCTAACTATTCTGTCAATCTCTGCTAACACAGCAACAATTTTACACCTACAAATGCCACATGAAAGTCTAGGTCATGGTACATGAACCATTTTAAAACAGGACAAGGTTCTACTCCATAAACTACTATTACCTCTTCTTTAACTGGGAGAAAAGATGATCAGCATGTAGTAGATCGTATGTCCTTGGGTATGTACTGAAGGATTCACACCAATCATGATAAATCCCAAAAAGACCACGTTCATATATTATAGGAAGTGTATCCGGAGAGTTGACATTCACCACATTCAACACCCACAGTTTGAGATCTCTAAGAGCTGCAGCAAACCTGTTAATATATAGGAGCCTTTTATGATCAGTACTCTTTTTGGTGCATAACCAGAGGTAAGAAGAGAGAAGTTAGTTACCCTCCATATACTGCTCTCATGTCCATGGCGTTTCTCACATTTGACCAGCTAATTCCCAGTCCGTTCATATACACCTTGCTTACCAAACGTTTCCAATGTTCCAAATCTGCTGCAAAGTCATCTGGAGCTGGTTTTCCGTAAATTCCAACTTGTGATTGGTTTAGCCAGTATGGAGGGGTCTGTAGTCGCTCAGGCCACTCTACAGGCCACCGATATCCTCTTTCCTTTTCTTCAGTCGGCACCCTATGTATACATGAATGGAAGGCAACATACCTGAAATGTGTATTGTAATCCAATCTCATTAAAAGTTGGTAAGCAGTTCTCAAGAATATGTGGAAACTATATTCTTTGTAGATATTCCAAATGGTATTGGTAGGCAGATTTCACTGAGTAAACAAAATCTTGTTGGAGGACAAATTCTTAGTCTGTTCTTACAGTGAGCTTACCAGGCAGCATTAGGATCATCATCTGGTTTACACATTGGGGGTTTGTTTTGTTTTCTTTGATTGTAGCAGTCATTTGTGTCTGGCTTGTGGTAGATAGCAACACCAACGGAGTTTAGTTTGTCCTTCTTTATGGTTATAAGCTCCCAGCACATGGACACCGTCAGATTAGACATTGCTGTTAAGAGAACCGAAAAACAGCAAAGGTGTTAATTTTACATTAAACGACATTAAGCGAAAGGAACGAGTAGGATCTTACCCTTCCATATCTCGACATCTTCTTCAAGAGTTTGGTACACAGGAGTTGCAGACCAGGCAAAGTAACCTCCGGGGCGGAGTACACGATTCAGTTCCAGGAGAAGAGCACCACCTTCATCGCATATTTAAACTTTATTAACAAATCTATATGATAACTCAAAGGCAGAGTCTTAATGAGGACTTGAATGTTGAAATAGCTGTAAATATATATATATATATATATATATATATATATATATATATATATATATATATATATATATATATATATATTAGGAAAAACCTTCTTCATGCCAAGGGACTCTGCAGCGTGCACAATGCACAAGGTCAAAAACTCCACTTGGAAATGGCAACCTCTGAGTACCCATCACTGCAGATATTGCAGGTATTCCCCTTTCAAGTGCAAATTGAACTTGTGCCTCATGTTCATCTTTAGGTGCGAAAGACATTGCAAGAACATCTCTCTCGAAAAGATAACCACCAAAACTAGCGACTCCACAGCCAACATCTAATACTACTCGAGTGTGCTTTCCCCATGCTATATCCGGAACTGCCTACAACCAGTTGATTGAAATAAATCTTCAGCATCATTGAATTGCCAAAAGTAGTACATATCTTCTAGTAATTAGTTTTAAGATGTCCTTTCAATTTTTGGGTTGATCATCCTATGATATTATTGAGTAGAGGCCATGAGGAAACGTTTAGTCATTATCTTGATATAAAGTTAATGTTTAAAAGATAAATGTATTGTTGTTATTATAGTTTTTGGTGATGGATAACATACCTCTTGTACAAAATCAATGTAATGCAATGCTCCATGGATAAACTGGGTACCTCCACCTGGGAAAGTTAGGAATTCACCAGAAACCTTCACCCAGTTTTGGTGCCCCTTCACCTCTGCTAACAATGTATGAGGCACATTATGGTACCATATCTGGATAAAAACAGAAAATTCTCAAAAGATTAACATTTTTGGGATACATATTAAGTAACAAAGTACTTCGAATAGACAACTACCTTATCTCTGCTTTTAGGCCACTCAATTGGTGTCTTGTATCCCTGAGGCAAGGGGACAAGGCAGGTTGGAGGTTCTTGAGGACAGTGTCTTTCGCGATGTTCATAATGCTTTGTGGTTTTTAGTTTTTTTATTGCTTCCTCGTTGTCTAAACATGGTATGTAGTCTGCACCAGCTTCCACCTTGCACAGCTGCCAATTCTGTTCCGGGACACTGCTGTCTTTGTTATTTGATCCGATTGTTCGTCTTTCTTTCTGGTTAACTGAATGATCAGCTTGTGTCGACCAGGACTTCTTTGATTCTTTAGACTCTTTTGGTACAATGGTTTCAGTCTTGTGATTTTCCGTCTTCGGAACAGGTAGGTTATTAGTTAAGTTTACGGGAGCCTTATGGTCATGTTGAATTTTAACATCTTTTAATATAGGTGCCTCATCATGTTTGATTTGATCTTTACTCATTACTCCTTGAGTTTGTTCTTCTGATTGTTTCTGTTGCTGTTGCATTTGGTCATCTTCCTGTTGTTGATGCTGCTCTAGTCGTTTTTGTTGCTCTTGATCTGTCAATATGTTCTTGGTGTTATCTGTTGAAACTCCATGGGCATCATTTCCTGAATCCAACGACACGTCCTCTTCAGCCTTATCTTTTCCTAGGCTTCCCTTATCTTTAGATTCTTTTCCAGTTGTTGTCTTTCCGATTCCTGCAGTTATTTGCTCAGCTTCTTGCCTGTGAGTGATGGAACTTTCCTCAGATGTTTGTGTCTCCAATAGTTTCTGCTTCTCTTGCTCTTCAACAGATTCGGTTCCATGCAATCCGTGAGAGTGCTCTGCAGCAGCTAGATTTCCATTTTTCTTATCATCTTCAGCTAGTTTTCCATTTTCACTACCTTGCAATGATTCACCATTCCCGTTTAAACCACCAGAATCCTTTGTAATATCTGATGAGACATCTGTCTGGGGCTTGTCATTTTCCCTAGTATCCTGAGGTCGGTTAGTGTCATCAGTTTTAATGGCATCATCAGGAAGGTCTCCTTGTGTGTCCTTAAAAACAGGTGTTCTTCCATTGTTAGAAATAGTCTTGTGGGCATCCATAATGGTGGAGGGAAGAGAAGAAGAAGTGGAGGTGGTAGATTCGGTGGATGTTCGAGTGGTGGATTTGGGAGGAATAACAGAGGTGGAGGTGAGAAGCCATACGCCTAAAACACATAATGATACAAAGATGATAGTAGTAATAGTTGATGAGTAGGAAGAACTGGATGTTCTTCTGCCCAAACGAGCTCTTGCTGTTGGCATGTTTGGTTGTGATTTGGATTACATCCAATTTGCTTCTTTTTTTACTTTTTGCAATAGCCTTTATGTTAAAAGTTGGTAATAGAAATGAAAGCAACAAGTGACAAGTGAGATGATGAGAGGATTCAGTTTGTTTTGTGGAGGGAGATGAATGACAAAGAAAGAGAGAAATAGTCCAAGTTGGATTATTAAAGATCCAACAGAGTAGGGAAAGGAAACAACTTACATTCATTTAACTCCTTGAATTGGGGAGGGGGAACTTTTATTATTTGAATAAATCTATATATTATTATAAAAGTGGTAAGACCTTGAATTACCGAAATATCCTTTTAAATATTTTAAATAGCTTAAGTATTATTTAATAATAAATATTTATTAAGAAAAAAAATTAATAATTTAAAGTGTCCTTTCAGAAAAGTTGTGTCCTCTTAGTAAGTAGTAGTAACTAAATATCTCCGTTGATTTTTGTGAAATAATCACCATCTATTTTAATGTCAATAATGCATAAAGCCTTTAACCGTATTTTAAATGCCAATAGTGCACAAAACTTTTAGCTATATTTGCACACAACCCATTCTTCAAAACTTAGGTTTTTATCCCTTCTATATTATGATCATTGAACCTTGTTAACCTTTATAAACAACATATAAGGTTATTAATTCCCACTTTTTTAGTTTTGTAAAATAATCTTCTAATTATTATAAAGTGGCATCCCAAAAGTTAAAAGTTGAACCAAATTGTCCTTATAAATAATTACTAATATATTGAATTTTCTAAATGCCCTATTATTAATCTAAAAATATCCTATTTAATTTTTTTTTGTTTAAAAAAAACTAAACTAGAAGACACCGCTTCATATGAATACGATTGTTTCTAAGTTGCTCTATAGAAGCGTTCCGATTCATGATTAAATGGTGTGAGAAATTTTTAAGTCACTTATTACAAGTTAATTCTCAACCTCCTTAATTACAAAAAAATTTTATCCGGATGAAGTTTATTGCTTTGCACCATTAATTTTTGGGAAATTTTCGTTCCTACACCATATAGGAAACTATATTACCAAATATGTTCATAGTTTGCATATTACCCGTCATGCTAATAGTATTTCTACAAAATATAAACAATTCATTAAATAAGGAATCATTGTAGCTGTAGGCTTCCTTATTTAGGCGCGCTAATATTGGGGAATTAAATATTCTTCCAGATATTTTACAACGCATTAATATTTCCTTTCTCTGTATATTTTCATACGTTGTTTGTTTGGATTGGAATTTTCATACGTTGTTTGATTGGAATTTGTTTTTACAGAGAAACGGAATTTTCATACGTTATTTTTTTGGATTGGATGTTGTTGCAAGAATTGAGAATTCTCTATACGTCTCTCTCTATCTCTCAATCCCAAATTTCAGTAATATAAAGCAAAGGAAAAGAGAGCAGTAATTCCACCATTGACAGCCATTAAAAAGCTTTGAAGCTTTGAATTCCAATTTGGGTTTCAAAAATTATATTTTGTTTGGATTGGGTGTTGTTGCAAATAATTGGGAATATGGTTTGGAGTTTATATTTCAATTTTGAGGGGTTTTGGTGAAGATTAGAATTGGTTTTGGCTGAATTTCAGATTGAAACTCGAAGAAGAAGAAGAAGAAGAAGAAGAAGAAGACATGACATACATTATATTGCAGAAATTGTAGAAAAATTGTAGACTGTTGTTTATTTATTTTTCTTTTATTCATTTAATTATTGTATGAAAGTTGAACAACATTATATAAAAATTATATTTAAGTGGTATTATATTGTATTTAAGTGGTTTAACGACAATCGAAACATCTCTTCCCATTTCTTACTTCTTTTCTAGTATAATACATATTTTCTTCATATACTAGTCCAATTTTTTCAGTTGCATACCTAAATTTTATGGATATTCTATGACACCAATAATTATTTTGAACTGAAATTAATACCACACCAAGAGACCAACATCAATGGTAAGGAACACATTATATGTCACTCGTTCAACTGTATTTCCAAATTTCAATCAGTTTTTTCTTTCTTTATTAAAATTTTTTTAATCTCAAAGTGTAACCTTATTATCAATTTTAATTTCTTTTATCACCATTTTCCTCTCATCATCTCTTCCAATCAAAGCCCACCACTAGAGCACTAACAAATTATTTTATGACATTCAAGACAAAAAGAAACGTTTTGAGTTAAGTAAACGTTGAAATTGCACAGACAAATTCTATCAAATTCTGGTTGTATATCAATGTCCTACACTTTATCTATATTTTATCTATAAAATAAATTACATGTCAGAGTAATATATATATATATATATATATATATATATATATATATATATATATATATATATCAGTATGGATTTTCACAACCATTACCTTAAAGTTCAATCAGAAGCCTAGAAGAAAGACTGTACCTACCAATCCAATATCTACAAAATTTCTACATTAATTCTACAATAAAACTATATATCATTTGAAAAATTAATATGAAATACAGAATTTCAATATTTCTACAAATTATCTATAAAATTTCTACAAACTGTTCATAACAGAATTTATCTTTATTTTCATGCAGGCTCGTCTGGAACACTAAAGTTACTTGATATGCCAACATCTCCCGTTATAGAGGAATATGAAAGTATAATAATAACAGATAGTACACCAAGTTTTATTGAAGTAGGACAAGTATACCAAGACAAGCAAATTTCATACAACTAATTATACATAGTAAAAATAAATTTCATACAACTAATTATATATTATACAACTTATCTACAACTTATCTACAATTTTTTACAACTTTCACACATTATTTCCACCCAGTTAAATACAACTACAATAACATACAACTTAAATACAAATTTTATACAAAATTTATACAATATGTCTGTTGTATATTTTGTATCTGATTTATACATAGTAAAAACAAATTTCATACAACTAATTATATATTATACAACTTATCTACAATTTTCATACATTATTTCTACTCAGTTATATACAACTATAATATCATACAATCTTAAATATAATTTTTATACAATGTTGTTCAACTTTCATACAATAGTTAAATGAATAAAAGAAAAATAAATAGACAACAGTCTACAATTTTTCTACAATTTTTCTACAATTTCTGCAATATAATGTATGTCATGTCTTCTTCTTCTTCTTCTTCTTCGAGTTTCAAAGTCTAATCTTCACCAAAACCCCTCAAAATTGAGATATAAACTCCAAACCATATTCCCAATTATTTGCAACAACCACCCAATCCAAACAAAAATGATTTTTGAAAACCTAAATTCGAATTCAAAGCTTCAAAGCTTTTTAATGGTTGTTAATGGTGGAGGGGTTACAGATTTTCGCTGGTTTTAGAAGAGGAAATCGTGGGTGATTGAAGAGGAAATCGTGGGGATTTGGAGAGAGAAACTTGGGGGAGTGGGTATATACGGTTGAGTAAAATTAGGAGACTAATTAAATACCATTAAAATTCTAAAATGGTACATAAATGATAATTAGGTATATAAAAGGTAATTATATTAAAAGTTAAGCATAGAGGGTAATATAGTTTACTATATGACATAGGAATATAAAAATTCCTTAATTTTTTTCATCCTTATTCCTAAGCTTATACTTTTTTGGAGCAAATTTGGGAAGGTAAAACGGATATGTATTTTCTTTAATTGTTTTTGCCGGCATATTAATAGTAAATATTTTGTCACTTATTTTAATTTAATTCTCTATCTTCTTAATAACAAAAAGTTTCATCATCGATGAGATTCATTGCATTGCACCATTTCTTCCATCCTCGGTTCCTCATCGCATACTTTTTTCTTTTTTCACAATTTAAAGTACAGTCAAAATTTCTTTATAATTGTCTTTTTTTGGGAATATTTTTTGTTTGTTATAGCAAATCAACTTGTAAGTATGCGATATCTGAATCGCTGCATCATTTACCATACCTTGGTGTTGCTTTGAACAAAATATTACCTTAAAGTGTTTTTGAAAAACAGAAATTTCAAAAAGAACTAATTGCCGCCACACTACATCTTTAGGGTATATTTACCAAAAAATCATATAACTATGATTTTTTTTAACCAAAGTCATATAACTTTATTTTCTCACATAAAAATCATAAAACTTTTACTAACTCACATAAAAATCATAGTGATTGAAAAATACAAGGTAGTATTTTCTTATTCCAGGTTTTTCATTTTTTTATTTTTATTTTCATTTTAATAAATAATAATCCAATTAAAATCGGAGTGACTCAACCCAACCGACCCAATACCCGTATACATATATTAAAATAATACTAAAAATGAATCCTTCTCCCCATAAAAAACTTAGTTTGGAATGCAAGAAATTCTTATCAAAAAAAGAAATAGAAATAAAAGGTATATAAAATTAGAGAGCACTTGAAATAAAAATGCTATAAATTTGAATGAAAATCTTGAAAAGAAAAATAAAAGATAGAAGTATCGTATTTTGAAGGATTCACTTTTAATATTATTTTAATTTATATATATGGGTATTAGGTCGGGGGGGGGGGTGTCGGGTCGAGTTGGATCATTCTCATTTTAATTGAATTATTATTTATTCAACAAAAAATAAAAAATAAAAAATGGTGGAATAAGAAAATAATATTGAAAAGTTGTTTTTTTTTTCAGTCACTATGATTTTTGTGTGAGTTAATGAAAGTTTTATAATTTTTCAGTGACAAAAGAAAGATATATGACATTGGTAAAAAAAAATCATAGTTATATGACCATTTGTGAAATTTACCCACATCTTTAGCGTGCAAACTGTGTGCACTGGAATTGACCAAGTAGGACATTTGATGTAAAGATAACTTTGTTATATGCTCTTTAGGAAGATTTTCTGGTCAACGATATTATTTGAGCGAAGAAAAAATAATGTGTAATGAGTCCGGTGGTGGTGTGAGGATGCATGCATTAACTACCCTTTTGCATTTTCCTTCATGTATTAATAATTTAGTTGTTTCCTATCAATCCAACAACTTAAAAAATAACAGATCTTTTTTTTGAGTTTTTTCCGCTCAATTCTTCGTTCAAGGTTTTAAAACCATAGCATCA